GGCGAGGATGTGGTATTAAGTTTCTGATCTTGTCCCAATATAGATATGTCTTGAAGAATATTTTTAATTAAGAACAGAGAAGGACTAGGTGTTGGTCACTTTGTGGATAGCTTGTATGTCATAGATGGGAGTTTAAAAGTTTTTGGTTCTTAAAGTAAATTTTTTTTACAGTAAAAGAAAAGGTGATGTTTTTAAAGGAAGCTATTCCTCTTGTTACTTTTATTTGTACAGCCAAAACAGAGGGTGGGCTCCTGAAGGGTCCTTGGGAGAAATGGTGTGGATGCTGCCAGTCGAGTGAGGCAGCATGAGAGGGCTCAGCCTGAAGGGCACTGCTTTCCTCATTGCGTATTTATTCTCTATCTGGACAGGCCCTTGCATCCTTGCTCATCATTTCCCTGTCTGTATCGTGTGGTATTAGGGTTAGCTTTCCTTGCTCTTCACCACAATGCATGAGGACAAGTATTTGTAAAACGCTTTGAAGTTGATGAATGAGAAGTGGTGAATAAATATAAATTATTATAATAATGGAGAAAGTTAAGGACACGGAATACAAACTCTGTGCTTTGGAAACAAATTATAGGACTGTCCCCACTGAAAGGAAGACTCGTGAAAAATAAGCAATTCAGTGTCCTATTGTTCTAATATCACAGTGAAGTCTTTGTCCTTTGATTTGAAGCCTTTACATGTTAACAATAAAACAGCTAAATATTAGGGAAATGCCTGGAAATCTTTGCTTTGGAAAGGAAATCTAGATTTGAGATGGCTCTATTAAGTGTGCATGTTTATATTTTTTCTTTGTATGAAATACACTCTAAGGCATAAGCCCTCTAATTTTTAGCTGTATATTTGGATCAACTGAAGATTTGAATTTTAATATTGCCTCTTCAAAATGGAAAAAGTTCTAACTCTTCTTGGCTTTTATAACCACACTTTATAAAGCTCTGCCAAAGTCACATTATTTCACCCCCTGCCCCTGAAAGCTCTGGAGATTTGCCACTGAGACATCTGATAAATTATTTTACACAATGGCTTATTTTTCAATTATTTTTTCTTAGCAAAGAAAACCAAGACGTTTGAAAATATTCACAAAAGACAATTCTGTATGGAAATATCTAAAACTCTTTGGGAAAATTCTTTCAGGAATGTATACAAATCAATATTTAAAAATATTTTCACCTTTTCTGTTAACTTTGAAAATATAAATCTTACTGTTTAAAATAGGTTGATAGAGCTCTAATTTAAAAAAAGGTGGTAAGGCAGAAAGGGCAGAAGAGGGCAGGGTTTTTTTTAATATAAAATTTTTTATTTTAATTGTGATTTTAATGAAGCTTTACAGAAAAGTTGGATTTTCATTCATTCATTGTTGCACATGAGAGTGAAGTTTTGACTTACTGTGTGTTACAATGAGTCAAAGTCAATTCGACAACATTAAATTCTCTCCTTGTTGTCATATGTCATCATAGGATAGATTTAATTCCTAAGTGTCATTACTACTCTGGCAAGTATTGGAGGTGAGTATACATAATTTTAGTATACAAAAGAAGAAAACAAAGGGAGCTCTGGTGGCCTAGTGGCAAAACTGCACTGCAATCCCAGAAGTACACGGATCGAATCCCCCAGATCCTCTGAGGGGCAATCTCCTCCTGTACCAGTCAGATCCTATTTGACGGTACACACAAAAAATAATAAAATAAAATAAAATTTCAAAAAAGAAGAAACCAAATGAAAATTATAATTCCATGGATGACATTACAAAATTATAAAAATGACAAGGGTGACTCATCCTATTAGTAGGTTGAGTGATTGAGACTTACATATTTTACCCACAATATATATTTACTGACTGTTTATTAAGCACTAAGATGTGTGTTTTGCCTTCAAGTAGCTTACAGCATAGTAGGATTGTAGAAATGTGAAGGAATCACAGTTCAGTGTGACCAGAACTAATGTAGGGTAAATATATGGAAGCATGTAGACAGAAGTGCAACCCTGTTGGAGAAGAAATAGTATCCATGAAGGATATCCTTAAGAACAAATAAGTTGTATAGTTGAAGGGAATAGGCAGGTCCAGTTCAGTGAACTACTTATTAATATGGTGGCCCTTTTAGCCATAAATTTGTAACTCCCACAAAATAGTTGCATGTAATTATGCAAATAAGATGCTTATGGCTTACCCAGAAGATTGGCCAGTGTGCTAATAGTAATGCAAATATGATGCATAAAGTTCTTGTGATGGGACCATGACAGAAAGAATTAGTTTTGTCATCCTATTTAAAATGAGCTCATCCCAGAGGTAGGGAGTGACTGGGGTAGAAGAAGAGCCAGGAGTGGAGCGTGTCCTTTGGATCCCCAATCCATGTGCTGATTGACCCAGGATTCAGAGGGAGAGAGCAAGCTGTAAGACTGGTGTGAGAGGAAGAAAGGACAGCAGGGAAACCAAGTGACTGAGAAAAGATGGTATGGTTGGCTTCCTAGCCTGCATAGTAGGGTGGCTGCAGTGGGCATGCTGATCCATTGAGAATGCAGAGTGTCTTTGGGCAGGAGTGGGTGGCATGGGAAGCCTGTGGGCATTTATCAGCAGAGCTGAAGAGCTTTAAAACCCTTGCCCAAGGGCAGATGTCAAGCTTGAGCAGGGTCAAGGTCTGAGATAGAGGAGGGCCCCTCCTTATGGGCTTAAGGGAAGCCTTGCTTAGCCAAAAGGATCTGTACTGTGTTAAACTGAAGGAGGGAGATTTTTGCCTCTACGCTTCTTGATCCTGATCCCAAGTTGAAGAACTCATTTTGTAAACAAAATAAAACCCCCACCAAACCTGTTGTTGTCAAGTTGAATTCTGGTTTATAGTGATACAGTTGGGGTTGTTGTGTTGTTAGAGTCAAGTACAACTCACAGCAGCCCTATGAACATATAGAACAGGATGTAATTGTCTCATGTTGTTAGGTGTTGTCAAGCCAAGTATGACTCATAGTGACCCTGTGAACTAATTCTATTCTATCCTGTGACAGTCTCATAATCTCTGACATACTTGAGTCCATTGCAGTCACTGTGTCAGTCCATCTGGCTGAGGGTCTTCCTCTCTTTTACTGACTCTCCACCTTTCTAAACATGGTGTCCCTCTCGAAGGAATAGCTCTCCTAGCAACATGTCCAAAATATGAGACAAAGCTTTGTCATCCTTACCTCAAAGGAACACTCTGATGGCACCCTCTTCAGGACATATCTGTTTTTTCTTTTGGCAGTCCATGGGATTTTCAGTGCTCTTCTCCAACACTATAGTTCAAAAACTTTATCTTCTAAAACAACTATGAGATCATCTCACCCCAGTCAAAATAGCAAAATTTAACAGAACAGCAAGCAATAAATGCTGGCGAGGTTGTGGAGAAACTGGAACCCTTATTCACTGTTGTGGGGAGTGTAAAATGGTGCAACCCCTGTGGAAAGTGGTATGGCGCTTTCTCAAAAAGTTGCAAATAGAGATACCATTTGATCCTGCAGTACCACTACTGGGAATATACCCAGAAGAGACCATAACTGACACCCAAGCAGATATATGCACACCCATGTTTATTGCAGCTTTGTTCACAATAGCAAGGAGTTGGAAACAACCTAAGTGCCCATCAACAAACGAATGGCTAGAGAAGCTGTGGTATATTCGCACAATGGAATACTATGCTGCATTAAAAAACAAGGAACTCATGCAATATTACGCAAAATGGTTGACTCTGGAGAACATTATGCTGAGTGAAATGTCCCAGTCACAAAGGGACCAATATTGCATGGTGCCACTGTTGTAGAATGGGACTGTCCTTGGGGTTGGGGAGAGACTGAGTAAGATGGGTTCAATAATGTATGCTGCTCTGAAACAGAGAAGGGAGAAAACTGTTTAAAAGAGATATGTGATTAGGTATTTCGGTCATGGCAGGAGTCTAGAGCAATGGCTACATGGTGGAGTGGACCTGGGGAAGGGTTTGTGAAATAATGAAAGAATCTTTTCTTTTACTTTTCCCAGAGGGTAATGTCTGGTGGGGGGGAGCCTTGGGAGGGGACAAATCTACAACAATGAATGAACGGAAATCCAAAGCCTCTGTAAATTTTCACTGAAATTAATAACAAATTTAAATAAAAAAAAAAAAGAATTAAGTTAGAGTAAGGATGGCAATGGAACCACCTTACCTCTGTAACTTGATTTGTGCCACTATTAGAACCTCTACTCAGAATATTATTGCTTTTCCGTTTTTGACTCATGCACTTTTAACTTTTAGTTAAATTTGTATCTTCTAGGCTGCAACACTTCCATGATACATCTTCAAGGATATGAACATGTACGTCTAAGCACAATTGATAACAGTGCATCTAAACTCCAAAATCAATCTCCATAATAGTCTATGTGTTTCCTACTGCCAAGGGGGGCCCTTTGGAGTAGTGAGAGAAGACATTCACCCTGAAACCCATAGCGTCCCTTTTCAGCAGGAAGTAGCTAAGAGAATACACCATCCCCTTTTCCTTATGAATCAGGTGAAGTCTCTCTCAGGGAGGAGTGATAGGGAATGGCAAGGGACACACTGACAAAGGAGATTAATCAGAACTGGCTTTGACAAGCACTGTGGCAATTGGACAATTAAAATAGACATGGGGGGGGGAAGAAGAACGAACTGGGTATGAGGGTGGAGAAAACAGTGCAACAATGAATAAATGAAAACCCAAAATCTCTGTAAATGTTCATTAAAACTAATAAAATTTAATAAAAAAAAAACAAAAAAAAAACCCCTTTATCTTCTGTCATTCTTATTCACTATCCAGCTAGCAGAGCCATAATAAGTGATTGAAAAGACTGACCTGAAACAGGCACTCCTTATTCTTCACACTGATGTCTTTGCTCCTCAATAATTTGGAAATTCCTTGACTACAGACTTTCTCAATGCAAGTCATTGACACTTTTCAATCTTTTTTTTTTTTTTTGTAAACAGTTTTTATTGGGAAACATTTGGGTATGCCCTTCCCACCCCCAGGGAATGTCCATTCTAATCTTCCTGGGGTGTTTTTTTCTTTTTTTCTTTTTCTTAGTGCTCTCGTTGATGGCCTCCTCAGGTCCACTGCTGACGGGCTCCTCCTTAGAAAGCTTCTTCTTTTTCTTTGGGACACTGTTTGCAACCTCTTCAGGGTCTTCTGGTTCCTCTCTGGAGGAAGATTTCTTCCTCTTTGGGACTTTTGCATTTACAGTTGGCTCTTCAAAGTCACTGTTGACCAATTCCTTGGACAGAGATTTCTTTTTCTTGGGTTTAGGGAGAGCAGAGCTGGACTGATCTTCCATTCCGTTCTCCTGTGGAGCCTCCTGGGGCGTTTTCTTTTTCTTCTTTTTGGGTTTTTCTTTGGTTTCCTCACATTCCTGATCTTCAAGAGTGCCTTTGTTTTCTGAAGCCACAAGTGCAAGAGCAGCCAGTCGTTTCTTCTCCTTCTTCAAGCGCTTCTTCTCCTTTTCCTCCAGCTTCTTGGTAATCTCAACAGCCACTTCTTCTGCCTGAGCAGGAAAGAAGTGCTAAAAAGGCTTGGAAGACACTTCTCTTCAGGCCTGTCCTGGTCTTCTTGGAGACAGTTTCAATCTTTATCTATCATGATGTTCCCTATTGGTTCAGAGGTGAGAATTTTTTATTTTCTTGAAATTGAGATGCAATCCATATTGAAGGCTGTGTTCTTTGAACACATTAAGTCCTCCTCACTTTTGCTGAAAGTGAGTAGGACTTGATGCAGATCAAACACAACAACCTTCAGTATGTATTGTATAACCTGCTTCATAAGGTTTCCTAAACGGTAGTCTTTATAGAAGCAACCTGTTACATTTACCCCCTGTAGTGCTGCTGGTGAGTTTGAATGCAGCATAGTATTCCACAGTGTGAATATACCACAGCTTCTCCATCCATTCGTTTGTTGATGGGCACTTAGGTTGTTTCTAACTCTTTGCTATTGTGAACAAAGCTGCGATAAATATCAGTGTGCATGTATCTGCTTGGGTGGCAGTTATAGTTTCTTGGGAGTATATTCCCAGTAGTGGAATTGCTGGGTCAAATGGTATCTCTGCTTGCAACTTTTTGAGAAAGCACCACACTGCCTTCCACAGTGGTTGCACCATTTTACACTTCCACCAACAGTGAATAAGGGTTCCAATTTCTTCATAACTTCGCCAGCGTTTGTTGCTTGATGTTCTATTAAATTTTGCTATTCTTACTGGGGTGAAATGATATCTCATAGTTGTTTTGTAGAGATTGTTAAATCTCCAAGAGGAAACTGCCTATCTTTCTCCTTCAGGGTGACTGGAGGATTTGAATTGCACACCTTTGAGTTGGCAGCACAGCCCCTTAACCACTAGGCCACCTCAGCTCCCTTCTATTGAGGTAAGGGATTTGATATTTTCAGTCAAGAGTTTAGTCCTTCGAGAGTTATGTTGATAACCCACAGGCCACACCTCTCTGGTGGTTTGAATCCACCTACAGCCCTCCAGAAGGGTGGCCTTCTCCTCCCATGTGGTTTACAGCCCTGGAAACTTGCTGGAGGGTCAGCTGAGTCATTTCTCACTGGACCTTGTTGAGTCTGGAAAAAAGCCATTCACACTAACCAAATTCCTTAGATTGATGCCTACACCAGAATGTAAATTTTAAATTTATAGTGAGAAGCACAGTCTTCAGGAGACCACATATTCACAGTTGCTGATCTGTGCGTTCTCTCCCTGTGGGCTAATCTATGTGGAAAGCTGAACTGTATAGAAAGCTTCCTGGAGAGCATAAAATCAAAATAGAATTGGATGATTTTAATGGCTAGTGATAGAAGCCGTCTCTCTTCTCTTCTAAATGGATAGATGAGCTTTAGGGTTTATCAAGACCTATTTTATAGATGTTGGTATACATGTTTCCTTTTCTGTTAACTCATTTTTTCCCATAGACAGATTATAAGGGTTAAGACAGCTGTTTAAACCTGAATTCTAATCTATATCCAGTTTTGAGTCTCTGCAATTACATATATCCAAGTACTGAGACTGGATTTTAGGATTTGTCATCTCCCCACTTATCGGTACTTTCTCACACTGGTGAATTTGAGAATCTGGAATGTTAAGCACTCCTCCGCAATCCTGAGGCCTGTCTCATTACCCACTGCCATCTGGTTGCCTCCGACTCACCCTCCATTGACTTCTGAAGCTGTCCTTAACTCTCCCTCAGAATTGCTGGTAGAATCAAATCACTCATGAGAACTAACCAAGGTCTCTAACTAACTAAGAGAACAAACAAGTCTTTCCTAGAGAGGGTGAAACTGGACTGCTCCTTGGAGGCAAGGATTTTGAAGCTCTGCCTGAAATACTTTGGGCATGTGGACAGGAGGGACCAGTCCTTGGAGAGGGTCATCATGCTTGGAAGGGTGGAGGGACAACGCAGGAGAGGAAGACCTTAGATGATATGGATTGACTCAGTGACTGGGGCAATGGGGATAGGTGTGTCAGAAACAATGAAATTGGCTCAAGATAGAGCAAGGTTCAAAGCTGTTGTACATAGGGTTGTTATGAGTTGCAGGCAGCTCAGCAGCACATAACAACTACCAAATGAGGCTTCTTGTTGTGTACCATTGAGTCAGAACTGACACATAGCTGACTCCCTAGTGAGTTTTCAGAGGCAGTCAATCACATGGGAAAAGATTGCTCATCTTTCTCCCATGGAGCAACTGGTGGATGCGAACCACAGAGCTTTGCATTGGCAGCACTACTCTTTACCAATAAGCCACCATATAGCACTATTACATATTTGGGTTCTTTGTCATGCACTTTTAGCTTTTGCTAATTTTTCTTTTCTTAATAAAATATGCCACATAACAACAAATATGTATAAATGTTAGTAATATTTTAAAGGTTTGTTTTCGTTTTGTAAGCCCTACCAGCCACTCATAAATATAACATATAAGGTCTTCTCCATGGCAGTCTATCCCTGCAAAGCCTTACAGCCTTGGAAACCTTACAGAGGCAGTTCTCTATCCTGTAGGGTTTTCATGAATCAGAATCTGCTTGACAGCAATGTGTGGTAGTTGTTTTATTTCATGGAGATGGAGAAAAGACCGTTAAAAGTCATTCAAAATTTCATCTTGTCTGAGTACACGGCCAACACTCTTGGCACCAGCAGTCGGGAGATCACAGGATGAATTCTGCTGTCATGGGCCTCTCCAGAGTGCTAAAGAAGCATTGATGTCAGTCTAGAGACTAAGGTGTGTTTGATCCAGGCCACGGTCTTCTCAGTTGCTTACTGTACATCTGACAGCTGGATAAAGACTAAGGATGACAGAAGAATTGATGACTTTGAGTTGTGGTGCTAGAGAAGGGTATTGAACATACCATGAACTGCCAAGATAATAAACAGGTCTGTCCTGAAAAGGGTGAAACCAGGCTGCTCCTTGGAGGCAAGGATTTTGAAGCTCCATCTGACATACTTTGGACATATTGCCAGGAGGGACCAATCCTTGGAGGAGGACATCATGCATGGAAGGGTAGAAGGTCACCACAGAAGAGAAAGATCCTGGCTGAGATGGATTGACAAAGTGACTGTATCAAGATAGGAAAGTTGTTCAGAGCCATTGCTCATAGAGTCACTATGAGTTGTAGTCAACTGGAAAGCATAAAATAACAAACAACAGTTGCAATTTACTCACATGCTCATATCATCTTTCACAAATTCTTTTTTTATTATTAAATTTTATTAGTTTTAATGAACATTTACAGAGATTTTGGGTTTTCATTTATTCATTGTTGCACTGTTTTCTCCACCCTCCTCACCAGTTCATTCTTCTTCCCCCGCCATGTCTGTTTTAATTGTCCAATTGCCACAGTGCTTGTCAAAGCCAGTTCTGATTAATCTCCTTTGTCAGTGTGTCCCTTGCCATTCCCTATCACTCCTCCCTGAGAGAGACTTCACCTGATTCATAAGGAAAAGGGGATGGTGTATTCTCTTAGCTACTTCCTGCTGAAAAGGGACGCTATGGGTTTCAGGGTGAATGTCTTCTCTCACTACTCTAAAGGGCCCCCTTGGCAGTAGGAAACACATAGACTATTATGGAGATTGATTTTGGAGTTTAGATGCACTGTTATCAATTGTGCTTAGACGTACATGTTCATATCCTTGAAGATGTATCATGGAAGTGTTGCAGCCTAGAAGATACAAATTTAACTAAAAGTTAAAAGTGCATGAGTCAAAAACGGAAAAGCAATAATATTCTGAGTAGAGGTTCTAATAGTGGCACAAATCAAGTTACAGAGGTAAGGTGGTTCCATTGCCATCCTTACTCTAACTTAATTCTTTTTTTTTTAATTTAAATTTGTTATTAATTTCAGTGAAAATTTACAGAGGCTTTGGATTTCCGTTCATTCATTGTTGTAGATTTGTCCCCTCCCAAGGCTCCCCCCCACCAGACATTACCCTCTGGGAAAAGTAAAAGAAAAGATTCTTTCATTATTTCACAAACCCTTCCCCAGGTCCACTCCACCATGTAGCCATTGCTCTAGACTCCTGCCATGACCGAAATACCTAATCACATATCTCTTTTAAACAGTTTTCTCCCTTCTCTGTTTCAGAGCAGCATACATTATTGAACCCATCTTACTCAGTCTCTCCCCAACCCCAAGGACAGTCCCATTCTACAACAGTGGCACCATGCAGTATTGGTCCCTTTGTGACTGGGACATTTCACTCAGCATAATGTTCTCCAGAGTCAACCATTTTGCGTAATATTGCATGAGTTCCTTGTTTTTTAATGCAGCATAGTATTCCATTGTGCGAATATACCACAGCTTCTCTAGCCATTCGTTTGTTGATGGGCACTTAGGTTGTTTCCAACTCCTTGCTATTGTGAACAAAGCTGCAATAAACATGGGTGTGCATATATCTGCTTGAGTTCACAAATTCTTTTGACTAGCATTATTGACCATCTGCTATGTGGCAGCTATTGTTCTAAACAAAGAGAAAATGACTGTGAATCACATAGTTTTTTAAAAAGGGTCCTAATATCTAATCTTGATGTACACTATATTAGATAAAAAGAAAGGTATGAGTGTGAGAAGTTTAGAAAAGTAGTAGGATTAGCCCTAGGGGAAGAAGGATAGTGCTGGACATTGCTAAATGCCTCATGGATGTCTAAGTGAAAGGGTCTGGTGGGTTAAGTGTTAAGAAGCTGTGCTGCCAACCCAAAGGTATGCTCTGCAGGAGAAAGATTGACAGTCTCTTCCATGTGATTTACTGCCCCTGAGAACCTGCTGGACGGTCAGCTATGGATTGATTCCAACACCATGGTATGCAACAACAACAATCCAGTCCACATAGTTAAATTTGTGTGTCTGGGGTTCAGAGGAGAAATCCAAGTTAGAGATATAAATGTGTGTAATCAAAAAAGCAAGAATTCAAATGATAAAATTCCAAGCCTTTAGCATAATTATATATAATGATATATCCTTCTGGTGCTATTCTTTAACTTTAGAACTCTGCCACTTGGTAAAACTATCACAACGTGTTGACCTTTTGGACAGTAGCAGCACTCTGTGGAAATGTTTATCTTACTGAGAATCATTATGTGAAACTTGTTTTAGGATGGGGAGGGTGTAGATGTAGACTATTATAAGTTGATTTGCTTTGTATATTGTTGTAAGTGCTTAATGAATGGACCTTGAAGCTTTGATATGCTTAGAAAAAAACTAATGTACTATTTCATAATTAGAAAAAATAAAAATGAATGGCCATTTATGGGCATTCGCTCTTTGGTAGTAATCAGAAATTAATGTCACACAAATATCATTTTAATAGGCTGACGCAGACATCCTCCTTGTCTTTCAAAGCTGCCTGTGTGCTTACTCTGACATCTAAAAATGAGTAGTGAATGTAGAATTGTTCAATCTGTAAGTTTATTGACTATTCCACTTGATAGCAGTAACTACTGAGACCTCTGTTGGATCTGGTTTTGCTTAATTTCCTTCTTTATGTTTCTCAGAGATAATTTAAAATTAATAATATTAAATCATCAAATAAAAATGGCTTGGAGGAGTTCTACTTCCTATGTGTGATCAATCAGTTCTGTTTTTCAAAAATAGTCACAGAAATATCTCTCAATGTGCTCTTTTGACCTTTAGACTCTACCAGTGGAGTGGTGGGGTTTATGTCCTTTCCCTTTCAATCTGGACACCACTTTGTGCCTGTCTTGATAATTAGACCATGGTAAGTGTGACACCATGTACTTCCCATGGCAGGGTCATAAATATGTCCCTATTCTGGGACATCCCTTTCCTGGGATGATCATGCTCAGAATGTAACCACCATACTGAGAGGAAGCGCAAAGAGCTCACCCAGAAGGATGGAATGGCGAAGGCAATGGTGTGGGTCCTAGCTTGAGGACAGCCTCGCTGAGTTCTCAGACTGTAAGCATAATGTGCTGCCAGGCGTATGAGTGAAGGTGCCTCCAGATTATCCTGGCTCCTGATGATTGAATCATCCTCCCTTCAGGTCTTCCCAGCTACAGTCCTAGGAACAATCAGAGATAAATATGAAATATGTGTTACAGTAGGAAGGGCATAGACTCTCGTGGGTTGATTAGTTTTACAAATTCTGGCTTTTGTAGATTTGTGTAATTTGTTTTGTAAATTCTTGTGCATTGCCCAAATTTCTGGCAAAGTTGTTCTTTCCAATTTTGCTTTTATGACTGACTTGTAGCTGGGACACTGCCCTTGAATGTGGTAGGAGCGAGTAAGCAGTACACGATCCCTTTATTTATTAAAAGACAACATTACCATCTGTCCTTTTTCAGTCTAAAAAGAAAATAATATGATGTTCTTTTTGAAGAAATCTGTTAGGACATGAAATTGAAAAGCTGAGGAATACCCAAGAAGGGTTTCCTTATTTCCTTTGAAAATGACAGAATAAAAAAAACTGAGATGCTTTGGCTTAAAGACATGGAGGCTTAATAAAGGGGAAAATAACAACAAACAAACACACACAAAGCCCTTAACCCTAAGTTTGCTCCATGTCCTTGTCCCAAGACTATGAATATGATGATCCTGTGCCTTTTCATAGTGTCTCAGCAGTTTCGTGTTGTCGCCCTCACCGTTTGCTATAGGCAGAGGGCATATTAATGCAACTTGCTTTTTTAAGAAGAAATTTTACCAGATTTTTCCCCTAAATTTTGTCTCCACTTCATTGAAAGGTTGGCCAGGTAAATTTACTTGTGAGGTGTTTTTGAGGAATATCTGTTAAATTGCTGTTTGCAATAGCTTTTTGTTGGGAAGTACAATGAATGTTCCATTGGCCATGAGTCTGCTGGGCTACAGTTAGGCCTATGGATCCTATAGTTAGGCCTTACTCCTCTCATTTAATTCAGGTGTCCTTCTGAAAGGCTACAGATTTAAACCGAAAGGCTAATGATTTAAAAGTGTTTTCATTGTGCAAGATTTCTGTAGAGTTAGGCAGTTGGTCTCACTGTTCAAGAGTATGGATCTGTATCCAGACTATCCTAATAGTCACTGAGGAGTTTTGACTAAGTCAGTCATTTAACTTTAGTTATTTCATCTGTAAAATGACAATGATAATAGTGAATTTTGCCCCCCAAAAAACAATGGGTAGTCAATTTATTTTTTTTTGTTTTTTGTTATTTTAACATTGTTTTAATCAAGTAACATAGGTGTTTGAAACAAGAAATTTCCAGACGAGTTGAATAGAGCAAAGTGAAGGGTTACTCTATGAGGACCACCTCTGTGAACAAAACTCAGATGATGGGAATTGGAATTCCATTTTGGCACCAGACTCAACAGTGGTCTAAGTCAAGATTTTTCTTTTTTTAATGTTTAGAAGCCCTCAACATGTTTTCCTTCAGATTAAAAGAAAGAAAGAACAAAACTTAAAGTAGTAATTTAAGTATCTTCAGTGATGACATCAGCCTCTGCTCCAGGCTCAATACCAATGGAAGTGATCTGCGTAACGATATCAGAAGGACTGTGCAAGTCAGTGAGTCATTGTGGATTCTCACCTGGAAACAATCCTTGATCTTGGGACCTTCACCACAAGGAATTTTCCTCCTGAGTGACTCTCAGGTTTTTGGTAGACATCCTGACTGGCTTTTCACTTTGAAGTCTTTCTCTTTTGCACAACACAATCAAGCCAACAGACATCTATCTGCTCCAGGGATTTTACAGTGAGGCTGGTTCGAGTAATTCTTACCCAGTTACTGGTTACTTCTGGTTCCATGCGTGTCTTTCCAGTGTCTTCTGGACTGACCTGTTCTTGGGGAGAGTGAAAAGCAGTGAGTCAGGAGCAGGAGTGGGTAGACAAGGCCCCCCTGCAGCAGTGACTGGGCCTTCCTCAAAGGCATAATAGTACCTTCTCTGTGGGATTATTGAGAATGTTAAGGGAGTTAATGAGTACTTGGAGCAGTGACTGACACAATAAACTTTATTAGCACTAACAATCACTACTTGCCTCTAAAAACAGAATTTCATTCATATGTTTCTGGTTGTGATGATGATTTTGTTTGTATCTCAAATTCAGTGTCAATAACGAGACCATCCCTGTAGAGAGTATTATTAAGGTGGCTGGTGAATTGAATGTGAGCAAGACTCTGTGACCTCAAGTCCCTTTAACTCAAGTGTTCTAAGGTAATCTGAGTTCCAAGATCGACTAACCCTGAAATAGTTGTCTGAGGAGTACTGATTAATAATAAACAGTATATCAACTATCAATTATAATGAAGGAGCTGTTATACTGTGATTACTGCTATACTGAACTGCAATATATTGCACTGAACAATTGTTGCAAAAGACCTCTTTAAGGTCAAGGTTACCACTTTAAAGACTAAGGTGTGTCTGACCCAAGCCACATGAGGTGTTTTCAATCACTTCATGCTTGTGAAAGCTGGACAGTAAATAAAGAAGATCAAAAGAAAATGTATTGGATTTATGGTGGTGGGGATGAATACTGACTCTACTGGGCTTCTAAATTGCCCGAAGACTAAACAAATCTATCTTAGAAGAAGCACAGCCAGATGAAACCTCAAAGACCAGGCAAAGATGTCTCATTTGCTTTGGATATGTTCTCAGGAAGGAATCTGGCCCTGAAGAAGAATATTATGCTTTGTGAGGAGTTTGGACTAAGAAGAAAGAACACAGTGGCTGCACCAATGGGCTGTACCCTAGCAGTGACCATGAGCATGGAGCTTAGAACCAGGCACTGTTCATCCCCGAGGGTTTGCATAGCAGTGACCGTGAACCTGGAGCTCAGGACCGACCACTGTTCATCCCTGTGTGCTGCACCCTAGCAGTGACCATGAGCATTAATTTAACGGGCCCTGCAAACAGCTGCCACTTCTAAGACAAGAGACTCTGCTTAGGAACTTTATGTTCTGTTCCCACACTAGAGCTCAAAGAAATGCTAATAATGTTATTAGGAAGCTTGTAAAGGGTTCAGCAGTCTAAAAGGTGACCCAGAAATAGAATCATTATAATGGCACACTCCTTAAGATGTGGACACTTTGTATATAGGTTAAATGTCTTGGGTGTGATTTTGTGGCAGAAATACCAAGGGCTCTTTTGCTGGACAAAAAGAAAAAAAAATTTTTTGGCTGAGACACCTGAAAGACTTATTGCTCAAGATATTTCAACACATTGGAAGTTCAGTGAGTAAACGAGTTAAGTAAACAATATCCTTTTAGAAAAAAAAATTAAGATCAGGCCCTTTTTATTTCTATATGGAAATATTGTACATTAACTTGATGGAAATGAAATCAGAATGAGGGCCTCTCATCTTCTCTATTGGCTTTTGTGGATGGTGAAATGCCAGAAATAGTCTGAGAAAACAGACTGAACAATCAAGAAGAAGAAACCTGAGAGGGAAGTTTGAAACAGCTAAGTGGAATAAAGGTTCCTGATACTTTCAAACCATTCTGTGAATCAATTGAAAACATTTAAAAGACAATTGCACAAGTGGGCAAAGGATAGTATATATTAATATATACTTAGAATGTCCAGTTAAGTGTCACCAATGTATGTTGTTGTTGTGAACTGTCAAGTTGGAACCAAACCATCGCTGACCCTCCAGTGGATTTTCAGAGGCAGTAAACCACCTGGGAGGAGATTGCCCATCCTTCTCCCTCAGAGCATCTGGTGGATTTGAACCACATACTTTGGGATTGCAGCTTAACTTCTTAGCACTAGGCCACCAGAGCTCCCACATAAATGTCTAATACCTATTTAAAAAAATTTATATATAGATTGATAGATAGATCCCATACTTGAAGTAAGGGGATTGTTAAGTGATTGAAAATGTAAGGCAAATTTTTTTAAGAAGGTTATGCTTACCCAGATTCTTTAGTGTGGTAGCAACCAGAGTAGTTTGAAGAGATGCTGAAGGGAGAGTGTCTTTTGCGCTAAGGACAGTGGTAGTTCAGTGGTAGAATTCTCGCCTTCCGTGTATGAGACCCAGGTTTAATTCCTGGCACCTCAAGTATGCAGTAGTGAAGGCATGTGTGGTGCTGCAATGGTTTTAGTGGTGCTTACAGACCAAGACAGACCTGGTAATGTACTAGGACAGTCACTCCGTGAAAATGTAAAACTGTGAGCACAATGGTTGAATCTCATTGTTTGTGGGATCGCCATGAGTCAGGCTGCCTCAACAACTACTAGCAACACCTCGTATACTGTGCACTTGGTCAACTTTGAATTGTGGCCCAGTCTTCGGGCAGCTTCATAGGAGGTTAAGCTGCTGCTGGAAACTATGGTGCAACGTAAAGTAGGTACTGATGCTTCCAGGTGGGGCTGGAGAGTGAACAATCAGAGAAACTGCTTTCAAAGAGACCCTAGACTCCTAAGGGTGGAGAGGCATGAGTAATTTACCTACCTGGAAATTAAAGTTAAAAGGAAAAAAGAAAGGGATTAGAGGAAATGTCATATGTGCTCGAGGCATAAATAGTTCAATGTAGAAATCTCACCTTCCATTCCAGGGATCTAAGGAGGATTCCATCCATTGCAGCCTCATACACAGCCGCCACCTGGTTGTAAGTGGAGAATTATATGCTGGGATTATGTTGAACAGGTTTCAGCAGAGCTTCTGCAGTCTTCTCATCTCAGCATAAGAGCTAATTTAGACAGCCTTTTTATTGTTACTGTCCTCCTTCACTCCTACGTTATAGGTGCCTTTTCGTTCTACAGACACATCAGCCTGCTCACGCCTCAGGGCTCTATGTTCTTCATAGTAGCTTTGCCTGTGCCCAGCCCTCCACCAGGAAGGCTCCATGGCTCGTCACCTCCTAGCTAACCTGATGTGGGAGCACTGTCACTTTATTGCATTTAGGCATTACTATAAACTGAGAATTCAGTCGTTTTAGCAGAAGACTGTTAAAGAAGCAACCTTGAGGAAATACTGTGATCCCAAAAGCATAATTTATTACTTACCTAGGAAGCTTGGGTGGCCTAGTGGGTAAGGAGTTGCACTGACGACCAAGAGGCAGGGACTTCGAATCTAGCATCTACTCTGTGGAGAAATATGGGCAGTCTTTTGTGATTTACAGACACTGCAAACTCACTGGTGAGTCAGCTCTGAGTCAGTCCCAACTCCACACAGCACATGACAACAGCAACAACATTACTTATATGCATGTGTGTGTTTTGAAATAGGCAGCACATTCTCTTGGTACATAATTCTCTAGTTATCCAGTTAGGCTCCTTGGAGACCTCTACTGTTCCTAATTTATTGTAAATTCTTCTGAGATTTATCAAGAATAAGTAAATAAAAGCTCCGTCTCACATACTTTGGACACATAGCTAGGAGGGGACCAATCCTTGAAGAAGGACATCATGCTTGGAAGGGTGGAAGGACAGTGAGGGAGAGGAAGACTCAAGATGAGGTGGATTGATACAGTAACTAGGGCAATGGGGGTAGATGTGATGCAGCCAATGAGACTGGCTCAGGACAGGACAGGACAGGCTTTAGAGCTGCTGTACATAGTGTGGCTCTGAGTCACATGATACATAACAACAACAACATCCATACAAATGTTACCCCATACCTTTTAATACTTTACTTCAACCATTTATACTATTTTAGTGTTTGTTTTCTTTGTTGTTGTTATTGTTAGGTGCCTTAAGTCAAGTATGACCTTTGACAACAGATTTGGATCCTGGCCATCCTCAATCACAATCTCTGACACCCTTGAGCCCATTGCTGCAGTCACTGTGTCAGTCCACCTACTTGAGGATCTTCCTCTCTTTTGGTGTCCTTTCCACATTTCCAAGCATGATGTTCGTCTTTAAGGAATAGCGTCTACTAGCCGCATGCCTAAAGTATGTGAAACAGAGCTTTATCATCTTTTCCTCCAGGGAGCACTCTGGCTGTACTGTTTCTACGATATATTTGTTTGTTCCCTTGGCAGACCTTGGGATATTGAGTACTCTTCTCCAACACCACAGCTCAAAGGCATTAATTCTTCTGTCATCCTTATTCATTATTCTGAATGTAATTGCTAATCCTTGATTATAGTACATGCATGACCAAGTGCTAATGCTATGTGCCATCGAGTCCTGACTTGTAGATGACCCCCCCACAGAGTTTTTAGAGGCTATAAATCTCTGAGGAGGAGATTGCCCATCTTTCCCTTGGGGAGCAACTGATGGATTTGAACTGCCTGCCTTTGAGTCGGCAGCACAACTCCTTATCACTAGACCACCAGAGCTCCCAAATGGTAATGACTCCTTACAATTCTATTGCTTGGATATTTTGTATTTTATTGATAGTCATTTAAATGGCTTTCAGTAGACTTTGCCATTAAACAGAGTATAGTTTAATAGTTTAATCTGCGCTGGTTTAAGTATTTAAGTATTTGAAAGGTAAATACAAAGAACTTGGGTAATGTCTCATCATTCAGAGAGGCTGTGTGTGTTCTCACATTTTAAGTTTAAGAGTAATTTCTCTTTCTTAAACGGCTTGTCTTCTGTTTGCTTTTTTTTACTGAGTGATAATTTAGGACATGAATGTAGTTTAAAAGATAATTACCCCAAGTGTCTAATGCAGAATTATTTAAGGTATTGGTATAGTAAAAGAAGAAATTAGACTAAATTTAGTCTGTACTCAAAAAACTAAAACTTGTTGCCATTGAGCAAACCCTCAGGCAGGTTTTTGAGGTTGTAACTCTCACAGGAAGAGATTGTCCATTTTTCTTTCTTGGCCACTCCGGGATTCGAACCAGAAGAAGGCAATCTTTATCCTTTGAAGCAGCTAGTGGACTTGAACCGAGTGCCTTTGGATTGGCAGCACACCTCCTTACCACTAGGCCATCAAAAACTCAAGTTAATAGTTTTAGGAAATATTTACCTACTTTTCTTGTAAGATAACTTCCATGAAGACAAAGATTTTATTTTTTTTTTTTTCTTCTTCTTCTCCTTCTCACTGCTGAATTTCCAGCACCTTGAATAGTGTCGGGCACATAGAACCTACTGCTGTTGAATCAATTTGGACTCAATGCACTTTCATAAGCTTTTCAAGGCTGTAAATCTTTACAGAAGGAAACCACAGAGCGTTTTGTTAGGAGCGCAACATGTAGCATGTGCCACCTGACCTCCTCTTTGGCACATAGTAGATGCTCAGTAAATAAGATAGCTCTCAACCTGGAAACCATCTTGAAATTTTGGTTTTTCACGACACACCCATTTAAGCCAATCCACATGACCTTCAAACACTAATTTAAAAAGTGCTTTGGGGAACCAACTGGTAACCTTATCACTAGAATGGCAAAGAGCTAATCTACAATGCTTTTGGGTGTTTGGAAATTTGAAAGTCAATGTATATTGTTGTCAAAAGGTTGTTGGTTGTTACTGACCTTCTGCAGCAAGTGTTTCAGCTGTTCCTTAGTTTCAGCAAGCAAGGTTGTGTTATCTGTGTACTGTAGGTTGTTGAGTCTCTAATCCTGATGCCACATTCCTCCTCATCAAGACCAGCCTCCTGAATTTTTTGTTCTGCATATAGATTGAAAAGGTATGGAGACAGGATGCATCCCTGACACACACTCTTCCTGATTTTTAACCATGCAGTGTTTCCCTACTTTGTTCTGACGATTGCTTTCTGGTCCAAGTATAGGATTCACATAAGCACAATCAAGTGTTCTGGGATTCCCATTCTCCTCAAGGTTAACCACAATTTGTTGTGATCTACCCAGTCAAATGACTTTGCATAGTCAATGAAACACAGAAAGATAGTCCTCTGATACTCTTTGATTTTTGCCAAGATCAATATATAAATTTTAATTTTCCTTGACCTCTATCCCATTAGTTATACTATTTTAAATAGTTGATTCTTCAGGGTATTTATTTACCTTCAGAAAGGATGAAAATGTAGTTGATGTAATGTTGTTGCTACTTCTACATTAAGCTACAGACAACTTTCAGGAAGATAAGTATAAGGATGCAGAATAAGAGCAGGGGCATATATTACCTCTCAAGAAGTGTGATTATGTTATAACAATTAGGAAGAGAAGAATTTCCCATCACAGTGCCAAAACCTTTAGGTAATTTTCTAAATGATTGTGCACCAATACACATTCATAATTAAAACACTCAGGAAAATAGGAATAAAGGAGACTGTGCTCAACATAGTGAGAAGTATGTATGCACAACCAAGAATGTACAACATATGTACAATAACAACACACATTGACTTTCAAGTTTGCAAACACCCAAAAGCATTGTAGATTAGCTCTTTGCCATTCTAAAGATAACAACAGTGTGTAAAACAATTGATTTAAACAAACAAACAAAACAATTGATCTTTAACTCTTCAGAAGCATTCTATAAATTTTTATCCCAAGTAATTAAAGGATTACTATGTTGTGTTTGAAGTCTCTTAATGGTTGTCTAAGAATATTTCTTGCAAAACAGGTTATTATATGGTAGATGCTATTTTAAGATACACTCACAACATGAAACCAAACTCAAAGAATTAATTGGGAATTGTTCCTTCTGCAAATTAATTTTCCGCTAAATCAATTGTTTAGTGATATGCTAAAACCAGTATTTAGAGGCTTTCAGTCAAATTGGTTAATGGTAGAGTGTCTGAAAGATAGCAGCTCTGTGGAGGAACATGGTGTGCATAGGAAGCACTCAAGTCGATTTGACTTTAACATTTTCTGTAATTGCAGCCTGAGATTGAAAATAGCTATTTTGTTTGAACCACTGTAGTTAGAATGACTATAAACATTATTAACTTTACCTGTGTTGTAATTCGTTTCCATAAGCATGTATTGTGCCAGGCATTGAGCGATTTGCTCTTGGGGTTAGATATGAAAAGAATAAATCATAGTCCTTAAGTTTAATAGGGGTAAGGTTTCTGGAAATTGCTACAATAATTTTTCATTACCTAAAACCCATCTGTTCTGAATTACTAGTTTATGCTATCTTGTATCAGAAGCACTTTGAAAAATAACCAGCAATTTGACATTGTTGTAAAAAGTTTGTTTTTGTTTTTAAGAACTGTGGGAATGTTTGTGTATCTGTTTAATAGTGATTTTAATTAGGGGAAGTTTTAACTAAATCTGACTGTATGCTTATTCCCTCAGTCCACATGAGCCAATCACATTTTATATTCTCTTTTGTTTTTGTTTTGGAGAATGAAGGACTGAAAGCTGCTGGCCACTTGAGAAAAATGGCAGCTTTTCAAAGTTTCTTGAGTGTTAACCTCCTTTGAATCTGTTAAGGCATTCAGAGCAGAGTACAAGAAGCTTAAGATTTGAAATAGACTGTATCACTGCTCAGTTGGCTTAGCGTGTAAAATGCTCTATTCCTGCTGGTAACCTTGGGCATTGATGCTGAATTCTTAGTGCCTTTTGGTTTCATGTTGATGTAAGATAATTTAAGTGTTACAGAATTTCTTTAAAGTTATTATTTCTACTACTGTTCTGCAAAAGTAATTAGGAAAACAAAACAAACCATGTCCCATATAAGAAAAGTTAAGGGCAACGGTAGAGTTTCCTGATTAAGTGAGAAAGCAAATAGGAATTGTAGCTATGAACACCTAGGTAGCATTGTCTCGGAGGCAGATCATCGCTTTCTTACTTCTGCTTGGTGATGGAGTGCGTTTCCTGTGGGTGGTTCCAGTCCATTCAGCTTTGGAGGACTGTCACTTCTCAGCTTCAGTCTTGAAGCCCGATAGAGACTGTATGAGTTGGAATCAATCTTTGGACAGTTAGTGTGCTGGGTAAAATGTCAGGTAAAAGGAAGCCCCTCAGTGATCTAGATGTACACAGCAGT